ATAAAATAAAATTAAATTTAAAAAAAACACCTGCAATGTCTGGCCAGGAGCCACGTCTCCTTTTAAGATTCCTTTTATATTGTTTTGCGGTGTTTGGCACCAGTAATTTCTTTCAAAAGATTGATATAGATGATAGCATTAATCATGATCTACTTTCCCTAACCAGGGTAGTGACAAAGCTTCCTGAGACCTAAGAATGGTGCCAGCTACTTCTGGGAGACTGAGTAAACTGGCCAAGTACCCCGGCACATGACTACTGTCCAGACCACCTGGATAGAAGAAACTATTGTATCAGTTCCTCACATTCTGTTGTCCTGTCCCTCGCCCACCTGCCTACCCCACTGCGGGCTCCAAATTGGGGACAGCTGGCAAACGCATAAGCTCTGTCTCCTATATCTTGGTATATAATAAAACTTCTGTCCCACCTCATCCCTGCCTCCCCATTCGCCGTTTTCACCATTCAGATTCCGTTTTTTAAATCCCCAAAATTAACAGAAGAATTCTATCTTCTGGTGTAAAGGGGCTTCCAAATACTCCTAAGGAGACCATACAGAGTTGCACCAAGAGTCAGGGACCTTTCTGGAGGCCAAGTCATCGGGCCCCTGTCTTAAATACAGACACTCTAAGCTGGTCTCAGCGACAGTACCAGACGGGGAGTGATAGACTGGCCCAGTACAGAGGCTCAGACACAGGCCTCCAAGCGGAAACCTAGGAGCCGCCGCTGCCCCATTCCCACGGTGGTCGTGGCGTGGAGGAGGGACAGGGTGGAGCTGAGTGCAGAACCTCGGATCGCGGAAGTGTGGCGCCTTTGGGAGAATCGCAGAAGGCTCGGGAAGCGGGTTCCAGGCAGGATGAGGGGGCTAGTCTTGGAAAAGCGGGGGGGTGGGGGGGACAGTCGGTGGGACAAGGGGGATGGGTCAGTCGGAGCAAAGCTGACAAAGGCCCTTGCCAGCTAGCCTCGTTCAAGCCTGCGATCCGGCGCAGGGTGGAGACGGGACGCGCAGGGGGCGTCACGCGCTGGCAGACGACGGAGATGCGCCAGGGGGGCGGCGGGAGGGCAAGGCGCTCTCACCTTCTTCACAGCGGGCTGGAAGTGGAAGTCACCGGCTTCCTTCAGGTCCAGCCAGATCATGGGCATGCGGGGAACGGCCTCCATGGCCGCTGATGCACTGCCCCCCGGCCGCCGGGCCGCTCCCCTTGCTGCTTCGGCAGCTGGCTGGGCCGCGCGCCCCGCCCCGCCCCTCCACGCCGGAAGTCGCTCGTCACGCGGGGACGAGGTAGGGCCCCCGAGGCCTCCTGGGAGATGCAGCCCTGGCTCCGCCCACCGAAGCGGCTGCGCGTGTGCAGTGTCTCCTCTTGCGCGTGCTCAGTCTCTTGCGCATGCTCACTCTCCTTCCGTGGGGGGGGGGGCGGCTTGGAGGTGGGAGGACCTTCTACTTGACAAGAGGTTTCTGGGAGTTTCTGGGAATGGTTGTCTTCCTCCGTGGAATTGACGGGGCCGGGCGCATGCTCCTAGGCAGTTCCAAGCTCTTAGCGGAACACCGGCACTTGCCGCTCAGGCAGGGCTGTTTCTTACGGTCTCGCCAGTAAATTCAGAGGGTTATGGAGAACTAGGGCCAATGCTCTGATAGAACGTCCCAGAGGAAACGCTGAGGGGAGTTAGGTTAGGGCCGCTGGGCCTGGAAAGAGGGAAACAGTACTGAAGAGAGCAGTTTTCATACCAAGGGCTGCGAAGGCTTATGGCAGCAGGGTAGCAACCGATAGAAGATTTATACATCCCACCCTGGGAAGCTGCTCACTTCTCAGTAGAGACACGTTATTGTGCAATGATTATAAGGAATGAAGATCGAGATGGAATGCCCAGCAGAAAATGGAGGCTCAGAACAATGTGGATAACTGTTGTGGGAAGGAATATATAAGCTACAGAAGTCTTTAGGTATACTCAAGGACTCCCTGGAAAGGCACTCGTGTGACTTAAGGTGGTACGTCTTAGGCCATTGACCAAAAGGTTGACGATCAGGCAGGCTTTTCCCACAAATATTTAGATCCAGAAATCCAATATAGGGTCACCGTGCGTGGGTCCCCATCAACTCACTGGAGGACCCATGGAGCTAGAGTTTTGGTTTCTGGAGACTTTCTAGAAGGAAACCACAGCATTAAAAAGTTACTGCCTTTGTCTAGGGGGCCTGTAGAGCGTTCGGGGTGAATTTAAATCACGTGCAACACCCAGAAGCCCTGGTGGCACAATAGTTGAAGCATTCAGCTGCTAACCAAAAGATTGGCAATTCCAACTCGCCAAGGCTCCCTAGAGAAAGGTGTGGTGGGAGCCTCCTCCTGTAAACCGAGCCGTGGAAACCCTCCGAGGCAGTTCTGAGCTCCGTTCTCTTCTCTGTCCTACAGGGTCGTTATGATCCCTCCTCACTAGAGGGTTTGGGGTGCATCTCTTAGTTTTAGAAAAGAAATACCTAATAGTAATAGAATGGTTTGGAAATAGGGCTAAGGTGAGAGGCAGCGAGCGATCTTAGGAGAGGCTGTTGCAATCTTCCAGGTGATGGTAACTCAGGATGGAATGGGTTAAAAAGTGGGTAATTTTGAGAAATGTTGGGAGGCAAAGGTGTCAGAATTTGGAGTAAGCGTGATAAGGGTCCAGGATTTCTCAGTTTGAGCTGATGCATCGGGGTGGCTACTGAGCTGTTTACTGAGCTGGAAAAAGACAAAGGAACACAATTTCAAGATGAGCAAAGGTTCGGGTCTGTGTTAAATTGGAGATACCTGTGAGTCATTCAAGAGATGTGGGGAGACTGGCATGTGGGCCCAGGCTCAGAGGAGAGGCTTCACCAAGGCTGGGCCCAGGACTCTTCTGTGGCAACATCCTGGAACCTATCCCTACGTGCCAGCTGGAGTTCCAGCAAAAGGACATATAAGACCTTGCAGATAATGTTTTTCAAAGAAAAAAGTGGCCAGCATCTTTAAAAAGTTTTGATTTGGAAAACTTTTTTTTAGGTTGCCCAGTCAACAGTGGAAATACTGAGGATAAGGCCCATGCCCTGAAAAATCTTAACCATGAGAAAGGGGGAGAGACTTGCCTCAGCACAATTCATTTTTAGTGAAATGCAAAAACATCAAGCTTCCCACTCTGGAACTCTTTGATGAATAGGGGTTCTTAGCCATGGGGGAGTAGCTAGACATAGGTCCAGTCACTAGGTCCAGAGCAGGTTAGGGGACAGTGGGGTTCATCATAGCATTTCTAAGGTAGGAAAGAGGACTCGGGGACCTGGGACGCAGGAAGCATGCAGCATCTTAGATACAGGAGAACAACACCCCAAGATCCAAGGCAAGAGACCAGTGAGAGGTCAGAATTAGGCAGCTGAGGGGCAGTATGGGCTGGAGCATACTGGAAGGGAAAGGCAGGGAAGGAGTAGGAGTCTTGCAAGTCAGAGAGCATCTTTTTAAAAAATTTTTTTTATTGTATTATTTTTTACATGTACCGTCAAATCAGATCTGACTGGTACAGGAGGAGATTGCCCCCTCCTTATCCAGCAGAGCATCTGGTGGATTTGAACCGCGTACCTCTGGGATTACAGTGTAGCGTCTTGGTTAGAGAGCATCTTTTAAGGCCTAATGAGGCATTCCCAGTAGACTTGCAAGTGCAAAAGGGAACTCTGGCCCAACTCAGGATTCAGAGCCAGGCAGATGAGCCACTACCTCTTGGGCTCCACCCTTTGACCTGATGTCTTCTACTGGCCTCATCTTTGTAGAATGAAAGCATTTTGGCACCACATGGTGGTTCTGGGTATGAATTACAAACATATAAACCTTGTGAGTGCCATGGATATATGTAATTGGTGTGACAGGCATCAAAGACAAAGACCTTGTGAGACGATGGGGATGATGATGAGACGGCTAAAAGAACATCACTGGGCTAGAGGGTGACCACCAGGCACATACGTTCTCACAGAGATGGTCAGACAGTAATTTAATACTGTTGGGGAAGAAGCAGTCTAGTCACAGAAGGGCAGCAGACCCCCAGCGCAACCAGGTCAGTGAACACCCTTCTCAAGACCACGGCCCCATTACACTGTTTTGTTTTGGTTGTCTTTTATTTTTTAACATTTGTGTTGGTTTGCATAATGTACATTTTGTTTCATGCACATACATTGTATTTTATAAAATCTTCCATTTACATTGTTGCTTTTATATACATTCTATTTTATATACTTACTATTGATCTATTCCTGGTTTGTTTGTTTGTTTGTTTTGGTTTAGTGGTATGTGTGTGTGTATGTACCGTCAAATCAGATCTGACTGGTACAGGAGGAGATTATCCCTCCTTCTCCAGCAGAGCATCTGGTGGATTCGAACCACTCACCTCTGAGATTGCAGTGCACCTTCTTGCCACTAGCCCTTCAAAACTCGCCTGATCTATTCCTGTTATCACTCCAACTTTTCAAATCCCCATTGAATATTTCCTATTCCTTCACCCCAATCTGCCTACTAACCACTGCTACCCTAGTGATTTCACCACCCCTTTTTCTGCCCGTTCTTCCTTTCTGCTTCTGCTCTTGAACATTTATACACATCTTGCTCAGTTATCCTTCTATTTTTACAATAATGGTCTCAAGCAGTATTTGTCCTTATAAGATTGAGTTATTTCAGTATAATGCTCTCTGTTGTTGTTGATGATGTCTTTTGAATTGAGCACGACTCATAGCAACCCTATGAACAAAAGGCCTGAAGCTTTTTTTTCTCTCTCTCTCTTTTTTTAAGCCTTTCTATAACTATCATGATTTATCAAAGTTCAGTTTCCAGAGGCATGTTGTTTAGGAAGTAGATGCCACTTCTGCTTCCAATAATGCTCTCTAGACTCTCCTATATTATATAATATTTTATGAAATAATGTTCCTTCATGCTGGATAGTATTCCAGTGTGTGACTGTACCACAATTTCTCAGTCCATTTGTTTGTTGATGGGCATTTAATGTTTCCATTTGCTTGCTATAGTGAATTACACTGCTATGAACATAGATGTGTATATCTGAGTTCCTTGTAGTATATACTCTTAGCAATGGAAAAGCTAGGTCATATGGAATTTCTGTGTTCAGCTTTTTGAGGAAACACCAAACTACCTTCCAGAGCAGTTGTACCATTTTATAATCCCTCCAGCAGTGCATGAGAATTCCAATCTCTCTGCAGCCTCTCCAACATTTACTGCTTGCTGTCCTGTTAAACTTTGTTCCTGCTACAGGGGTGAGATGGTGTCTCATTATTTTTCCCTTACACATACTGGAAGAGCCTCCAAAGATAAAGAACCATCTTTCCCGTATGTGGAAACTGAAGTCCTAATGGGGAGGGCAGTAGATTATGCAAAGTTCCCCAAATGAATGTAAGAATCCAGATGGGTGTAGATGAATGAGACCATATAGCTTTGACCTATGATGTGATATTTTTGCACACATATTTGTGCTATAAATGTTAGGTGCTGTCCAGTCAACTAAAACTCAAGTGAGCCTATGAGCAACAGATGGAAATCTTGCCCTCTCTTCCACATGTCTTCACAATCAGGCTGAAATCTCTTCCACATTAAAATCTTCCTTCCACATCTCATCACAACAGATTGAAATGTTGCATCCTCACAATCATGCTCAAGTCCATTGTTGCAGCCATTGCGTCAATCTGTCTGTTGAGGGTCTTTCTTTTGCTGACCATGTATAGAGTCAAAGGTCAGCAAAAAAGAGGAAGCCCTTCAAGATGAACTAACACCTGGCTAGAACACTGGGCTCCAGCACAGCAGGGAGTGTGAGACTGGGCAGGACGAGTGCTTCACCCTGTCAATACACGGGGTCACTCTAAGTCAGAGCTGACTCCATGACACCTCACATCATATGCGAGACAAAACGGGACAGTTATTAAAACTTCTTAGCCATAATCAAGCATCTGAAAGGAATTAGCCTAAAATCTCAGTACCATATCCTCAGGGAGCATCCACATCAATTGACATAACATAGTCAACCAAGATATTATTTTACATTATGCTTTAATGGACAGCAAGTGGGATCTTGAAAGCTTCCTAGAGGCTGTCTAAGGTATAATCTTGACCAGAGCAAAGACAATCAAAGACCAAAGGACCTATAACTGTAGGAACTTCAGTCTCTATAACCCTGAGACCAGAAGAAATAGATGGTGAATAGATGCCTTCAAGTTGTGGTGCTGAAGAAGAGTCTTGAACATACCATGGACTGCTAAGAAAACAAATAGGTCTGTCTTGGAGAGGGTGAAGCCAAGTCTTTCCTTGGAGGCTAGGATTTTGAAGCTCCACATCACTTACTTTGGGCACGTGGCCAGGAGAAGTTGGTTCTTTGAGAAGGACATCATGCTTGGAAGGGTGGAGGGACAGCGCAAGAAAGGGAGACCCAGGATGAGATGGATTGATACAATAACTGGGCCGATGGAGGTTGGTGTGTTGGAATTAGACTGGCTCAGGACAGGGAAGGGTTCAGAGCTGCTGTACATAGGGTCACTATACATTGCAAGCAACTCAATGGCATAGAAAAACAATAATATACTATGATAGGTTTGGAAGCAGGAGTGGCATCCACTTCCTAAATAGCATGCCTCTGGAAACCCTATGAACTTTTATAAATGTCCATAGTTGTAGAGAGGCTTCAGGTCTTTTTTTCATGATGTTGCTATGAGTCATGCTCAATTTGAAGAGAATCAACAACAACAACAATATACCCCTGCTGACCCTCTGAAAGGGATCACAGTAGAAGTTCCCTGATAGAATGAGAGAAATATCTGAAATAAAACTTGAAATCATAAAAAGTGGGAGTCTTACTTGTCTGATAAAGACTTGAAGAACCCTGAGACTATGGTTCTTGGTTAGCCTGCAAGCCTGGAACTGTAATCACCCTTTGACTCAGGTTTCATCCAAACACTAGATCAGTAGATAGGTTTATGTCAAGTCATATCCCATCGAGTTGGAGCCAACTCATAGCTGACCCTGCAGCAAGTTTTCAGAGGCTGTAAACTGCACAGGAGGAGATTGCCCATTTGTCCCCCGCGGAGCAGCTGGTAAATTCGAACCACCTGCCTTTGGGTTAGCAGCGTACCTCCCTACCCCTAAGCCACCAGTGCTTCAGATAAGCCTATAAGATGATTAATAACACCAGGAAGGAACACATTCTTTATAACAAACAACCACGCAAGATCAAGAAGGCAGCATTTGCCCAAGGGTAAAACCAGAAGGCAAGAATAGGAAAGAAGGATGAATGGAACTAGGAAATCTAGGGAGGAAGCAAGAAGAAAGTTGTTAATTGGGGGCATTGTAACCAGTGTGATGAAATGTGTGTGAATTGCTGGAGAGAAAACTAATCTGCTCTGTAAACTTGCACTCACATCACAATTAAAAAATTAGATTAATCCACCAGACACTCTGCTGGAGAAGGAGGGGCAATCTCCTCCTGTACCAGTCAGATCCGATTTGAAGGTTGTTAGTGGTGGTGTTAAGTGCCATCAAGTCGTAGGCGACTCATAGCAACCCTATGAACAAAAATCCTTGGCACTTGCATGTGTGATTTTCATCCTCTCTCCAGGTTCACAGGGTTTCTGGAGGCAAGCTATTATGGAAGTGGATGCCACTCCTGCTTCCAAGCTTGTTTCAACCGGGAAGCATCACCAAACACAGTCCATCAAGGGTAACCGTTATCACATTTGACACATCACTGTCTGATTTGATGGTACACACACAAAAATAATAAAATAAAATGTAAAAAAAAAAAGTTTAAAAAAATGTCCAGGCTAGGTTGTACAATAAAATGAGTGTAATAAAATACTGTGCATGTATGCTTCCATAAAGATTACAGTCTTAAAATTTACCTTGTGAAGCCATTTGACTGTATCATATAAGGTTAATTAGAATTGATAGCTTCAGATTTGAAGATGGGATTTTGTTGCAGCCCCTCTTTCCAAAATGCAAAACCCACATAACAGTGGAGTCGACTCAAAGCTGACCTTCTAGATTAGCATTTAGCAGTAAAATGCACAGGAGAAAATTGTCCATCTTTCTCTCATGGAGCTTCTGGTGGATTTGAACCACAAAGAAGTGCAGCCTTTGGGTAAACAGTGCAACTTCCTACCCGCTAGTGTACCAGAATACCCTTGCCAGTTAGGCAGCAAAAGAGGTGCTCCAGAGGATCTCAGATTCTTAATTTACTCAGAGCCTCATTGCAGGGGTTTGCAACTATACAAGGAAGGTCTGGGTCCCCAAGGCCCAGCCACAAAGTTCTTCAGTAGCGGAGGGTTCGCTCCACCAGCAGGTGGCGCCAAGACCACAGTGTTGCCACAGCTGCAGGCCCACGCTGGCTGTGCAAACGCGCTGAACACTATTATAAATGGCAAGCATATATCATTCTAGGGCTAGAACCCCTGTACAGCCAATGCAAGCCATTGATAGCAAAAGCCTCCAGGATAGGATGGGGCCTTTGTATTTACTCAAATCCACCCACACTCTTGAGTTGTCCAGTACCTGGCAGTAGCACCCTGCAGTACAATCTCAAAGGCATGCAGTTCAAATCCACCAGATCCTCCTCTGGAGAAAAACAGGCTATCTCCTCCTGTGAGGTTTACTGCCTCTGAAAACCCACTGGAAGGCAGCACCCGCTGGAGGATTCCAAGCCACTGAGCACGTCCATTGGCCTCTCAGCCTTCCTAGCTGAAGTTTCCTTGTCTGTGCGCCTTAGGGTAGGTAACTTGTGTACTCACTGCTGGTTCTGGAACACCAGATCTGTGTCCAGATGTGGCCAGTGTGGCCATAGCAGCTTCCTCAATGGACTTGCAAGACCACTTAGGCAAGAACTAGGAGTTTCCAGCATCTATGTCCACCCTGTCAAGCCCCATTACAGCAACAGGGAAGCAGAAGCCTGGGAAGGGTAGGGGCTTGCTCAAGGGCTCTTTGTTCACAGGTTTCCATCCTTGTGAAACTGTTTTTTCTTCATCTGTCTTCTCAAGGAGATGAGGACGCCACAGGATACTCAGGAGTGACAGGCATCCATCACCTGAAGCGTTGTCTCTGTGCAGAGTGAATAATTATGGAGCTGAGCCAGTCATCTGAAGGGCATTTCTTGCCTCAACTAGGTGGGGATCACTTCTGTTTCCTGTAACCTCCAGAGCCTCACGTTCTGTGCCCCAACCTCAGGTCCCAGGACAGCTCTGTGCTCTACTCCTCACTTCAGCTCTGCCTTTCAGGCCCTCACCTTAGCTTTTGGAGAAAATGGGGAAGTGTGTCTAGCTGCTCCAGGCCCATTTCCTCACTGGAAGGTGGGCTGGCCCCATGGCAACACCCTGTGGTGACCCTCTTCCTCCACAGCTGCCTTCAGGGGAAGGACAGGTCCTCAGTCACAGCTGGAAGGAGTCTTAATCTATACGTTTTCCACAGAAAAAAGGAGCAAAAGTAAAACAGGCACCCTTGGGGGGCAGGCAGGTGCCCATGGGGGGCAGGCAGGTGCCCATGGGGGGCAGACATGGGCCTGGCTTACCTGCTTCAGCAGCCACAATTCTCATCATGAATCTGCTCAAGCCGCCGCCTTCTTTCTGTTCACTTTCTCTGCAATGAATGACTGTGGAGAGGGGGAGCAGTAGACAGAAAGTCCCCCGTGAAGGGGCTGCCACCATTCCAGGCTGTAGGTCCTGGACTGTCTGAGGTTACATTTCTTCAAATAAGTCAGGCACCCAGATTTTTTTTAAATTGACAATAATTTAAAAATATATATATAATGTTATAAAAGATATAAAATGTTCTGGGTATCAATCTGCTGCAGTCTCAGATTGGACCAGTTCTTTGAGACTGTGGCTGAGGAAATGTCATAGGCAAGATCCATAGTTTGTTGTTTTTTTAATTAAAATTTTCTTTTAGTTGTGGTTTTAACTAACATTTAAAGAGACGTTAGGTTTTCATTCGTTGCTGCACATTTTACCCCCTCACCCTCCCTCCCCCCTTCCCAAGTTCACTTTTTTAAAAATATTCATTTGGTGAGCTCTGGTGGCCTAGTGGCAAGCAGCAGCACTGCAATCCTAGAGGTGCGCGGTTCAAATCCACCAGATGCTCTGCTGAAGGAGGAACAATCACCTGAACCAGTCAGATCAGATTTGACGGTACACACATCATCATCATCATCATACATTTTTTAAAAATCTAAAAAAAATCATTCATTGTTGCTGGATTACCTACCTCCCCCACCCCCCACAAAGTCCATAGATTTTGACAGTTGTTTCCGAACTCAAAGGAGAACAGACAAGTGGAAACAGCACACACCTGGGCTCTCAGAGCTGGACGGTCCCTCCTCATGGCGCTGCTGGGGGCTCTATGGCCCGGAGCTGATTCACTCTTAGGTCCAGGTCTCTTGCTCAAACCTACTGGCCTCTTAGCTAACTGGCACTCGGTATTTTGGAATATTGGCCAACATTGGGGTCTCAAACAAAGGAAGGAGAAAGCCCCACATGTCGCCAGCAGCCCTTGGGCAAGTCAAACCACACAGTATCTAAAAGGGGCTGTGAGTGGCAGAGGTTGAGAGAAGAGACAATGGCAGGAGTCTGGAAGGCACTAGTGCTGGTGGTAGGCCTGGCAGCGGTGGCTTGTGTGGCCCACCGCCGACAGAGCTATGAGGAGATTGTCAACCAGGCCGTGCAGTTCTTCAATCAGGGACGAGGAAGGAAGCCCCTCTTCCGCCTGCTGGAGACCATCCCACCACCACCATGCTTCGTAAGTGGATGATACTGTTTTTGTTAGGTGCTATCGAGTCTCCTCATGAGCCCCACCACCAACAGATCAGAACCTTGCCTTATCCTGTGCCATCCTTATCATCTCTGACATAGTTCAGCCCTGTTGTTACAGTCACTTTGTGAGCCCATCTGGTCAAGCGTCTTCCTCTCTTAACTGACCTCCACCTTTCAGTGCAAAGTGCTCGGTTGTGCAGACCTGGGCTTACCTCTTTCCAACTGTGTAATCTTAACCTGTCTGTGCCTCTATTCCTTCATCTATAAAAGGAAAAAAAAATGGCCAAGCTTTTTTGTTTCCTGTGGCTTCTTTAGAACATTACCTCAAAGATCCCTCTCAGCTTCAGGATTAAGGAGACTGAGTGCCTTTCAACCCAGCAGAGAAGGCTTCAAAACTGTGCTTTCCGGGAAGGCGGGGTAAGTGTCCCTCTCCTGTGAGTTTAGCTAGGGAAGCCAAAGGCAGGTGGTTCGAATCCACCAGCTGCTCCACAGGAGAGAGGTAAGCAATCTCTTTCTGTGAAGTTTACAGCCTCTGAAAGCCCGCCGGAGGATCAGCTATGAGTGGGTTCTGAACTGATGGCAATAAATTTTGTATATGTATAAAAGAGAGCACATCTGTAGTACTTTTATCTTTATTGTTTAGCTATTCATTAAAAGGGGAGCTGGAGTGGAAGGGGGAAGCAATACACGTTACAAAAATGTAAAAAGAGAAACAGCAAAGCAAGGGAGTACCCCACCTAGAAAAAATGGATTTTAAAAAATGAGAAGAAGCACTAATTACAATAGTTCAGCAAACTGGGAAAAGAAAACAGAAATCTTTTGCAAAGGACAGACATAGTAACATTTGGTATTGTGTTCTGTGTATCTTTCTGGAACACATACAATTCCTTTAAATGAGTAAGGCTTCCTCTGGGCATGCTAATTTATGGGCATCTTTGCCCCATGGCACAGTGGGTTAAGTGCTAGGTCCTTAACCGTGAGGTCTGTAGTTTAAAACCACAGGCAGCTGAGAGAGAAAGCGGCAGTTTGCTTCCCTGAAGCTTCCAGCCTTGACAGTCCCATGTGGCAGTTCCCCTCTGCCCTGTCGGCCTGGCTCCCTTGAACATGAAAGGGCCCAAGGCAGTGAACTGCTGGGTTTCCCTCCCTGTAAATGGCTTGTATGGACACCCAGCGTTTCAACACTTGTGCATCTAGACAGCTTGGGTGTTCTCAGAGCCAACCTTTCCTGCCGGCCTCTGAGTAACCCTCAAGCCCTGAGGATGGGCTGGGACCTGGGCAGATGCATTCAAGCCTGCAGGGACCCTAGCAGGTCCCAAGCTTTTAGGACGGCCAGACCTACTATTTCTAACCTTTTTGACTCTGCTGCTCCCTAGGAGGAGCGAAACTGCACGGGTAACTTCTTCAGAGCGAGGAATCTCCGTGTCCTAACGCTGGACTGCTCCAGGGACACCCAGCGTATGCTAGAGGTGGGCCTGCAAAGACCCCCAGCCAAGGCTGCTCCTCTACCCCACCCCCAGCACCCCGGCTCTCTCTCCCCCTCTTCCTTCCGGCTCTCAGCCTGTGCCTGAAACCTCCACGTTGGCCTAGTGCCTCCATCTCTTCATTGGCTGCTCTCTTCTGCATTTTAACGTCAGGTCTGACTGTGGTGCCTGGGACCTCCCCTCCCGCTCTGGAAAGAGGGGTCAATTAAGCAGGTTGCTGGGAGGGTGACAGCTGGGGCCACTAGGGCGCTTGAAGACTGTTGGTCACGTGGTTTGATAAGGCGGGGTCGTGGAATGTGAGAGTCGTGGCCTGAGATGAGGTGCTGGAATGCATTTGGGAGTACTCAGTGCTCCAGCCTCCGATCTGCAGAGACTCCTCTGCCCTGCCCACTTCACCCCTTCCTTCCAATCCAATGTTTGGGGGAAATGGAAGTCAGAGGTGGCATCATTTCCTGGCAAGAAGGTGGAACAGGCAGGGCAGAAATGAGTCCCCTAGGGTGGGCCTAGCCAGGAACAGCTCCTGTACGCCAAGCCCACCACGCTGCTTACTTGTGCTCGTCTCCACACCTGGTCTACCGGCTTCAGGAGGGCAGCAGGGGCTCAGGGTGCATGGGTAAGCTGGTCTGGGGTGATGGGCCTGACTAGCTGGTGTCATTGGTCTAGGCCTTTCTGGAGAGACGGGAGAGACGCTCAGTGGAGTCCTCGCAAGACAGCCCTCCTGAGGCTGACCTCAAAAAGCTGCCACCTGCGGCCAGGGACATCTATGAGAAAGCCAAGTACGACATCATAGCCAACATCCTGAAGAACTTCTAGAGCTGAAGAAGGAAGGAGTGTGTGACCGCCTTTTCCCCACCTGGCCACTTTGCTCTGCTGCCCCAAAGCTGCCCTCAGCCCCATTTTTCCTGCTTAGTGAGTCCTGAAACCTTGAGTTGGTCCATGCTTCTCTCTGCCTTTACTTACTGGTTTCCTGACACCTACATTCCTGCCTGATCTGTGTCGGCAGATCTTACCCAAAGTGCAACCCCAAAAGCCACCTCCTCTAGGCAGCCTCCCCTGTTCTCATTGTGCAGAGGTGTCCTTTCACCTGTGAACCCACCACCCTCACACCAGGCTGGCATGGCCGTGTTCCCCTATCAGACAGCACGGGGTCTACTTACAGCTGGGCGCCTCTGGGCCAATCACAGGCGGCTGTGCAATGAGTGTCTTAACAGGATGCTCCTGCATCTGGAGAGGAGATGAGTTTAGGGCACTCCGAGCTCTACCCAGTCACTGTGACCGCCAAATGTCCTTTCACAGACCCTCAAGTGAAACACAGGCAGGGACTCAATAAAATGTTTCTGAAATAAATGGCTAAGTGAATCACTGAACTGCTAGAAAGACTGGGCTGATATGTAGGGGACTACGGACTAGGCCACCGGAGCTCCCCAGATAGTTGGGCAAGGAGCCCAGTGGAGCAAATCCAGGGGAGAGGAGTCCAGGGGAACCCAAACTCCAGGAGGGTACGTATGAGGGTAAGCCTACAGGACCGCCTCAGCAAGGTGTCCAAGGACAGTCTGATCTGCAAGTCTAGGGTTCAGGGAGAGGTTCATGATGGAGCTTTGTGATAAAGGATTAAAAGTTGTTGAGACGAAAGAACACTGCTCCCTGGTTTCTCCCCGTGGGCAGTGCAAATGGTTCACACATTTGGTTGTTAACCAAAAAGACAGTGACTCTCGTCTACCCAAAGACACCTTGGAAGAAAGGCTTGGTGTTCCACATCCCCAAAGCCCATGAAGTACAGCTTTAATTCTGACATCATGGGACCACCAGAAGTCAAAATCAACTTGATTTTCCTGCAAACCTAAAATGATTCTGAAAAGTAAGACATATTTAAAAATTGCTGTGTGGTATACAGGCAGTGGGGTGTCAGAATCCTTGAATATGGGCTTTTCTAGCCATTGCATTATCCCCCATTAGGGGTATGAGATCCAGCTACCTTAACTACGGACACATGGTCTTTACAAATCACCAACAGATGTGGAACTAATATAAGAGAGTACTTTGCACACTGTGAGAAACTGTGGTGGAGGGACTGTGAACATTGTGAGAGATGAGAGAGGGCAAGAGACTGACGTTGCTGTGAAGTAACTGTGCAGAGTGTAATTAAACCTTGGAGATGGAGCCACAGCTAAAGGCTTTGTTTGCTGGATGACTGAATGAAAAGTTGACTTGTAACTGCTGTGACATAAAGTTTGCTGGATTAATTGAGGAAACTAGAGGTTTATTTGTGCTGCTGAACTGGATCTAGACTTTCACTTGTTGACCCTGAAGCTGTCTGAATTCACTGAGAAATTGTGTCTTGCTGCTAATTGGCTTGGGACTTTCTGGACTAGACCTAGACTTGCATGTATGATATTCTTTGCCTCTCCCACTCCACAACCTAGTTCCCTAATAAACCTCACAACTGAAGTTGTGAGTAAAATCTGAGTCAATGTGCAACAAACATTGGACCCAATTATTCCTTGAAATAGGGTACAAGAGCACATGCGGATGGTATGCCTGATTATATAAAAACTTAACTAAAAACCAAGAAACAAACCCCTTAACTCATTGATGTTAAAACTGACTCATAGTTAACCAACCCTCCAGCAGGTTGTCAGAATCTCTGAATTGCTCTGAGGAGCAGTTACTGGATTTGAACTGCCTGCTTGTGGCTTGACAGCACAACTCTTTACCCACTGACCCTCAGAGTTCTCTATGCTGCGTTGTTTTTTCAGGGGTCATTGAGTTGCGTATGACTCTCAGCAACCCTGCGAACATTAGATCTGAAACCTATCCTATCCTGTGTCATCCTCCTCATCTCTGCCACAATAGAGCCCATTGTCACAGTCCATTTAATAACCAACTTGTTCATTTATCTGGTGACACACTTCTGTATTGATCTACCACAAGATTTATTTGTTTAATGCTTCCTTGGGTGACTAGGCCTCCACTCACTCATTCATCATTGTGAGACTATCTATCTATCTAGTACAACTTTTGCCAATTCAGTATTTTCCAGTTGTACAATTTAGTGATACCACTTAATCATGTGTGCAACCATCACCCACTGATGTTGACAAATTTCCACTTATTAAAATCATTCTCACTGTTGAATCTTAAAATTGTTGTTTTCAATTGTTGTAAACAATAATGAGCTAGCAATAATTTCCCAGAGTGGAAGTAGATCGAGACATTTGGACATTTTAAGAATTTAATGTACTGCTAGACCATCTAGCATGGAGCCTTTAGGCAGTTTCATTTATACTATTGGGAAATGGAAAATTGCCTAAATTGCCCAATAGGAGAGTGGTTAAGTAGCGTGTGCAACATCCACTGGATGGAGTATTATGCAGCCTTTGAAATAAATTTGAACATAATGTTACATCAAGGGAAATGCTTGTGTGAGAATACATAAGGCTTTTGCAAACCTGATTAAAGAATGCAGGGGCGGGGAAGAAGAACAAACTGGGGAGGAGGGTAGAGAAAACATTGCAACAATGAATGAATGAGAACCCGAAATCTCTGTAAATGTTCATTAAAACTAATAAAATTTAATAATAATTGAAAAAAATGGGGGAAAAAAGAATGCAGAGAAGCGGGGATTGGTTGAGAGGGAGTCAAAGTTAGAAATATGGAAGGGGAGACAGACAGGGACAAGAGAGATTGACAGGTTTCAGACTTTAAGTACTTGCAACTCTACCACAGAAAAATGTAAGCATCTGGAGAAGACCAGTGATTTCTTAGCTAAAAATGAAAAATCCACATTGGCCCGAGATTGCATGGGGAAACAGGAAAGGGCTGGTTGTCTCAGGTGAGCCTGGCAAAGTGATTCGAGGCTCAAAATCAGGTAGCTAACTCTCAATCTACAGCTGAGGTTTATCTAGTCTTCACTAGAGGGCCGTGAACCACACTCTGAGCAGGGACTTTGAACATGAAATCCCAGGAACATGAAATCCCAGTTATTTAAATAACTCAAAATCAAGGGGAAAGATGGAGTGCTTCCCAAGAGACTTACTACTAAATCCTGAAAAGACATTGTTAGGTGCTGTTGAGTCGACTACGACTCACAGCAACCCTAGAAACAATACATTAGAACCTTTTACCTTATCTTGACCTCCTCCACATTTCCTTTTCAAGGAGAAAAAAAGGCTGTCCCATCTTTGGGGTGTAACTAATAAATCTGTTTACTTTTTACCTTCAAAGCAAGCAAGCAACCAACCTTACCTTATCTTGTATCATCATTGGGATCTCCACCAGGCTCACGCCCACTGCTGCAGTCACTGTGTCAATCATCTTGTCCAGGGTCTTCCTCTCATTCTCTGACCCTCCACATTTCTGACTAGGATGTTCTTTCCAAAGCCTGGCCCCTCTGACCACATGCCCAAAGTGTAGGAGTTGAAGTTCCACCATCCTTGTCTCTACAGAGGAGCTGGTGAACAATTCTACACACACAACTGTCAAATCATAATGTTGGTCACAGTGTCTGTTGTTCTGCTGTCTGGGATGTGAAATCCAGTGACCTTGACCTCCAACCTCAGCATTGGCCCCCTCATCAGTTAAGGCTAGCAATATTGCAGATACCCTTAAAGGCAAATTCTTTCCCACTGAAAAACTCCCAATTTAGATTTCTTGCATTCCTGCAGATTAAGTTCAAAGAAATTAGGACCCAATTTTATTAGAAGAGACAAAATATGATTTGAAAAGTGGAAAGACATGTCTTAGTCTAATTTAAACTCTACAAGGCAGGGAATTTGAAAACTTTAGTTCATTGATTTAGCTACAGTACTTAAAATCCAGTATTTGATGACCAAAAAATGCTGAAAAATTAATATAATGAACAAGCTAGCTCTTGTAAAAACACAAACATTTAACATATTGGACTCCACTAGAATTTGAGACCTGGTGGTACAGTGCCTAAGCACTTGACCCCCTCACTAAAAGATAAGCAGTTTGGACCCACTAGAGGTTCCTGAGGGAGCTCTCAGTGAGGAACTGAGAAGAGCTGAATTTTGAGGATGGGGAGAAGTAGGAGATAACCACATGTGAAGATGAGTACAACGTACAGGTGACATCCAAGGAGTGTGTCAATTCAGGCCGGTCCGGAGGTAAGCCTCCAGATGTCATCCTTACTTGTGGGGGAAAAGCAGTATTAGCTAGGAAGAGTTTGTAGAAAATGGGGCCCAAGACTGTGCCCCAAGGACCCTAACATCCAGAAGTTATAAAACAGCAGAACATGAATAGAGAAAGGTGGCTGATTTTTGAGACAAAGAGATGGAAATGCTCCCAGATAAGGGTGTGGAAAATGTGGAGCTCGTAAGGGCACAGAGCAGGCTCACTCCAGTAATCTCAATTTCTGCTGACCGGTTAAGACTCTCCTTACCGCCAAGTGTCCAATTCCCTATGAGAAGCAGGTGCCCACTCTCAAGAGAGTATCTTAGACAAGCAAAGAAAATAGAATTAAAATTGTAGTATCTTCCCATGGAGAAGCTCAGAACGAGGTGGTTTTGCTGGTGAATTCTATCAAGTACTCTTTAAAAACAATAATCCTTCACTAACTGTTCTCAAGAGCAGGAAATAATTTCCTATTCATTTATGTGCCCTTATTACTGACCAAAGCCAGACGAAGATATTGAAAAAAAAAAAAAGGATTACATGCCATGACCAAGAGGGATTTTCAATTAATATTATATTCCATACTAAACAACTAAATCATAGAATCATTTCAACAGATGCAAAAAAGGTTTTGCAAAATCTAACATTCACTCATGATAACTATACTCAACAATCTAAGA